ACAACCCAATACAATACACGTTTTACCCATCGTGACAAAACTTCAAAAATTTAGCTTAATTATATCAAGATACACTTTTTAAAGGGCAACAGTTTGTTTACAAAATGATGGCTAAACTGACGGCCGCGTGACGGCCAGCTTCGTTTTCAGGGTGGTCACGTCACCGGAAATACGTCAACAATGAAACCTGCATGCCATTCCTTTCTCGTTTTTATTTCTACTGATTACCACATTTCCGGAATCGATTTTTTAACTTTATTTGATATTGTAATGTTACTCAAATGTCAATCAAGTTGTTCGCAAGTGATTCGCCTGGTTGCTTCGTGCGAGCTTATTGCTAATTTTGGCAAAAATATTCTGTCTTTGTCCAAGTAGCCTGATACAATTTAGACAACTTTTGAATTCTATCCTGTCCCGATTTTCCTTTCTTCCTTTCATTCACCCATCTTTTATGGTCATTCGGCTACCCCTAGGGAAGGGAAATCGGAAACCGGCTTCAATTCACCTTTTCGACGATAGCCGTCACGTAAACACTTTGTTGGATTGTGTTACGGTCACCAAAAAGTTCGGACATCGTTCTCGGATTCCCATACAAATTCACTGAGTTTAAAGAGAAAATTTAGATAGATCTATTTAGTTAGCTCTCTTAACAGCAATGAGAAAAGCTTCAATAAAGTTAGAAAAACGATAGTTTACTTGTATTTAGAGAACTAACTAAACAAACCAAGTAAATAGTTCATTTAAAGTCATCCAGTACATTTGTACGGAAATCCGAGAACAATGCGAATATGAGGAAAAGGAAGAAAAGCGGAGTAAAGTAAAAAGAAGGAAACTGAAGTGGGATCGAGTGGGAAATTTAATTTTGACATGTATAAGCAGTTACCTTTGGAATATAGCAACAATATTGATTATAGTTGCATGTTTTCTTGCCGGTGTTGTAGGCCACACATCACTTTTATTTACGAAGTCGTTTCCCAGTGTTTCTGGACCACGATCACCACCAAAGCAGAAAAAATCTCTGTCTTCAGCAAGGTTTTCAGTGGACCGGCCTTTCAAGGTTAAGTTATTAGAAGATAAATAAATACATATATATATAAGTGCCTTGCGGGAGATTTTCCTCACGAAGAGCAATCAAGAAGGACCGGCGCGCCGGCAAATGATAACTTTTTCAAAAGCAAATTTAAACCTTTTGTAAAGACACTTTTAATGTGATAGGCATTTCAAAGCAGACCAGCCCGGCAATTTGCAAGCTCAACTTTGGTCAGAAATTTCAAATTATACTTTAGTTTTTCTAAGGTTTGTTTCTGAAAAGCGGCTGATTGGTCATAATATTATTTGCCATAATATACATAATTAGTTAGAAGTGCTTGACAGTCAACTAACTTTGTCCTGGCCTTCGTCTGAACTTCAGCATCCTCTCTGATGATCAATTGAAATTTCCCAAATAAATCTGATTTGTTTCCTGAGCTAATACGAAGCCGGGCATGGGCATTTTAGGTTAAGCTTTAAGGCGTCAACTATCCAAGTACCCGCACATAGCGATTTGCATATAAATTTTACATCTTAACTACATTCGACAATGAGTGAGCATCATTTTCTTAGATGTTGGCACTATTTTTCCGAACTTTCCTGTTTACTAATCTTTTACCTCAATCGATTTTATCTAAAAGAATGTTGTAAGATATTGTTAGCGCAACACAAAGCAAAGGACAAAGTTGCTCGAGATACAAGTTTCAGTTCTCGCTAATTATCCTGTTTTTATTATTCCGCTCTCAATTTTAGGATTTTGAAATGAAAATAAAAACAATAAATGCTTCTAATGCTGCTGGCTTACCTAGCGACAGGACACCGCAAGTACTGGTGGCCAATGACATGACATCATTTCTATTTTCGTGAATGATATCATAAGGGGACTGGGGATTCCCCGGTAGGGCTTGGACGAGAGTCGATGAGGTCATGGTATAAATTCCTGAGAAGCAAAATCACAACAATCTAAGATTCACAGGACACTGCAAATTATATGCTACAATTTATCCAGAGGATTAGAGGAAATAGCTAAAATTCGATTTGATGGCAAATCTCTGAAGACTATAGCGCTATTAAAGATTGCTTGGGCAACAGGTGGATAGACGCGAGACAATAGATTCAAAATGCATTACCGACCACCTGTCGAAGCTCCATGTGCAGTTCAAGTCGCTAAAGTAAAGTATTATTAGTCTTATACTCGGCATACTAAAGTTGTTGTCCAAAAGAGCGTCAGAAGTAGTGCCCTGGAGACAAAGACGCGTGAAAAACCCACGTGCTCAGTTTGTTTATGGACGAATCAATTTGATATTGAACAAAATGAAACGATAAAATAATAATTAGCCACGAAAACACGAGTATTTTGTTTGTATTTGGATTGTTTCTACTTGGTAAATAGTTTTTTACATGATTAAAACGACAATCAAAACATAACTGCTATAGCTTTTTTGCCGAATGCGAGGGGGTTTGATCTTGATGCATGTTTCTTTACTGCACGAGCCGGAAGGAAACTTTTACCATACTTCGTATTTATAAATATATGAAAGTTTTCTTAAACTTCTTCGGTAAAGCCTAATAATGTGTTTGACATTGCATCGGATAAGACAACATGCAGCTACACACCACACTACATAATAATAATAAACACTATGAAAACAACTCGCCTTTACTATAATGGTTTTGAAAACCTAAAGTTCTAATGAAACGCAGTTCTAATAAAACGCAGTCACAGATAAAAAGAACTTACCTCGACGTCCAGCTAGCCTGTTTTGTTCATTAGTTAACGTTAAGCTTAATCCCCAACTGGTGGATTTATACCTCCAGACATGTGAACTTGCCTATTCTCAGGATTTACGGCACAATGGACAAAAACAAAGATCCTTTTTTGCATATTGTAGGTGACATCATCGATATGCTATCAGCGCTGCCATAATTTTTATTTTTTTGTCAGGTGATTTACATTAGCTTTTGATTTAAATTTGCTGATCGGGCAACAGTGTAAATATTCTTCAATACTGGGGAAATTTTGATAAAAAAGGAATGGGGRAAAAAACCATGTTAGGAAGAACTTTGTACCCCTAGTATTTGACGTGACCAGACCTGACCATGATATTTAGACGATGAGCAAGCCAAAAATAAGATAAATTATTCAGTATGTGGTCACTAGCTTTCACTTTGTGATTTGGATTTGCTGATCTGGCAAAAGGTAATGATGCTTAGACAAAAGTCAAAAATGGTACTACTTGATCTGGTCTGGCCCGACCAAGGATCATTATTGGGAAGATACGACCCGTACTGCTAGCTGACGTAGCCTGACCTCTCCCTCAAAACATTCTTATTGTAAACGCGCTATGCAATAAGAAAATAAATTTAGATGCTCTCAGCTTGCCAAATCATACCTGCTACCGTGCCGCCGTTTCAGTCATGCAAAATCTTACACTAGGTTAAGCAATCTTCTCCTTCCGGTCATTAATCATATCCAAGTGACCACTCTGAAAGCGCACACAAGATTCTACAAAATTTTATATCCAAGTATACTTTTTCTTTTCTTTCCCAAGTATGGCGGGAAAAGGTCACGTGACCCATCAAGCATCTCCTAGCAACACCCAGTTTCATCATATTTATAAGCCTGACTGAAGCGAGATGAAGTTTTACTCACGACTCTATACATTAATATTTTTTAAAATTCTTTCATATTAAAACTGATGTTTGATTCCGTAGAGAATACAGAAACAATAGTCATATTTAAAGAACAAAAGCAGTGTGAAAAGGATTATGATGGTCTAGAGACGGGGGTAAAAACGTCATCTCGCTACAGGCTTTATTGCAGACAATCAGTCTGACTGCCAAAAATATAGTTCCTGATGATCAGGAGTTTTATTGTTACTGTTCAGTTAATATCAATAAACTATAAGTTCTGTGGTTTACCAGCACTTCAATGTCTTTGTGGATCCAGAATTGTAATGAATGCATAGCATTCTTCAACAGTGACGCGATAGCCAAAAATTTCCAATTCCCCAGGCCAGACTTCTTTTAGTGCCGATTGAATGTTGGTTGACGATCGATAATAAAGCATTTCTCATGATCATTCTCTCCTTAGATCATCCTAAATGGCGTCTGTTTTTCATTGTTATTTATATCTCGAGGGATTTTGAGTCATGTGGTTGCACTCCAAGAATTGAAGGTTCATGTTAAATGGACAATTTTTTTTCAAATAGGACAATTTTTTATCGAATGGTCTTTTATTCGCAGCGAAAACAGTTGAGTGCAACAATTATATCGACGAAAATATATTATAATCACCACCAGATCGTACTAAATGACACTGATAAACTATTAGAAGCCAATGAAAATACCATTGGGACTATTTAGGACTATTTCACCATAGTTAATTAACTATTAACTATGATTTCACAGCGCACTAGATATTACATTGAAGATGTGCGCCTTGAAGAACGTTATTACTGGGTTTCCTGTGGCAGCCCAGTGGTAAAATGCCTTTGGTTTTTTTTCCTGCCTTCTCCTTCTCGCGAAAAGTGCATTCTTGTCTATGAATGACTAACATAACTAGAAATCAAGACTTACGAGCTGTTATAAACCAATGTTTTTTTATATTCATTTTAATAGCTATGCTATTCACGATTAAATGAACACTTATGGGCTTTTTTCTTCAATACAATTATGCGCACAAGAACAAATTAGACCTTTCCTGAATTCGCTTCAAGTCCAAGTAGAGGTTGGACTTGATGTGTTGATAAATATAGTGTATTTGTCAGGTCCAACCTCCACCTGGAACCAATATGATGAAAGGTCTATAAAGGGACCGCTCATTATTTACAGGGAAATGAGATATGAAAAATGTGATGCTCAAATTTTTTTGGTTCCCCTTCATTCATAGAGAACGCAAATTTTATTGATCCCCCTCCCCTCCCAAAATTAATGGACAAGTGTCTAACAAAAAAGGTATCTATTACACAATTTTTTTTTGGTCCACCCTTTTTCAGTGCACAAAATTGTTTGGTCCCCCCC